GATTAAAGATAAGTTAGATCGGAAAATGAATAAAATAGATTGATAGATATAGACAGACAACAGGTGGTTATAGGTGTTACACAGAATATAGCATGTTAGAGGAGAGAAGTAGCTGGGTGACAGGGAAGTGAAGGGCAAAAAGATGTACAGAGAAACATGTCTAGATCAAATGGATCACAGACCTAAACAGAAAATGTAAAACTCTAAAAGTCTTAGAATGTAAGAGAAAAACTAAATAATCTTGGGTTTGGTAATAACTTTTTAAATACAAAACCAAGTAAATTCGTGAAAGAAAGAATTGATGAGCTAGACTTCATTAAAACAAATTTAAAAACTGTGCTTTATGTAAACATTGACTAGAGAATAGAAAATAAGCCACAGAGTGGGAGAAAATATTTGAAAAAGATATATCTGATAAATAATGTTTATCCAAAATATTCATAGAATTCTTGAAAATCAACAATAAGTAAACAGACAGTCTGGTTAAAAAATGAGTCAAAACCTTGACCTCATCAAAGAGGATAGATTGCAAGTAGCATATGAAAGGGTTCTCACCTGTGTGTCTTGGAAGACATGCAAATCAAAACAATGAGGTACCACACCAATTAGAATGGCCAAAATCCAAAATACTGATACTGCCAAGTGCTAAGAAGTATAGTATAGAGCAAGAGTAACTCATATTCATTGCTGGTGGGAATGCAGAACTGTAAAGCTCAGTTTAAAAAGTAGTTTTCAAATTTCTTTTGTGTGTGTATCTATATGAGCATGTGTAATAAGTAAAGTACACATACATGCATGTGTTTTTTACTTCATCGCTCAGTTGTGTTCAATTCTTTGCAACATTATGGACTGTAGCTGGCCAGGCCCCTCTGTCTGTGGGATTTTACAAGCAAGGATACTGGAGTGGGTTGTCATCCCCTTCTCCGGGAGGGCTTCCCTATCCAGGGATTGAACCTGTACATGTATATATCTGTATGTATATACATATATATATACACACACACTTTTTTGACTTACAAAGATCTATAGATATTTAATATAGACACCTTGATGACTTCATGAGTTTGGAGATCAATATATATCTTAGAAATCATCACCCCAGTCTTCATTATAAACATATTCATAACCTCCAAAAGTTTCCTTCCACCTTCTTTATATATTGTTACCATTTTTAATTTGATTAAAAACAGACCTAACCTTTTAGCAAATTTCTAAGTATATAATATGGTATTGTTACAAAACTAAGCATTCTTACCATACAATCAATTAATTGTGCTCCATGGATTTTACCCAAAAGGGTTGAAAACTAATACCTATGAAAATATCTACATATGCATGTTTATAGTAGCTTTATTCATAATTGCTAACATTTAGAATCACCTAATATATTTTTCAGTAGGTGGTGGTGGTGGTTTATTCGCTAAGCTGTGTCTGACTCTTGCAACCCCATGGACTGTAGCCTGGACTGCCAGGCTCCTCTGTACATGGGATCCTCCAGGCAAGAATGCTGGAGTGCGTTGCCATTTCTTTCTCCATTTCAGTATGTATATAGATAAATTGTGGTATATCTAGGTAATAGAATATTATTTAGCACCATAAAGAAATGAGCTATTAAGCCATTCAAAGACATGGAGGAATCTTAAATACATATTGCTAGATGAAAGAAGCCAGTCTAATAAAGGCTATTAATATTCCAACAGTATGATATTCTTGAAAAGGAAAAACTCTGAAGACATTAAAAAGATCATTGGTTGCTAGGGGTAGGGGGTAACAGTGAGATGAATCAACAGAGCACAGAAGAGTTTTAGGACAGTGAAACTATTATGTGTCATTATGCATTTTTTAAAACCCATAAATTATACACCATCAACAGTAAACAATTGGTTTTATGTCATAATGATATGTAAATGTAGGTTCATCAGTAGTATCATGTATTATTCCGGTGAGGGGTATTGACAATGGGGAAAGCTATGCATGTGTGGGTACAGGGCATGTATGGGAAATCTCTGTACTCACAGATTAATTTTTATGTAAACCTAAAACTGTTCTAAAAATAAAATCTATTTTAAAATACTCAGGTAAAATTTAAGCTGAAGATGATTAATTTGAAGGTGTCAACAGTGTGAAGTGTGTGGAGAATTGTATTATAAGCAGAGGGAACAAGTGTGAAGCCTAAAAACCTTGCTGGTCTGTACAGTTAAATATAGAAAGAAAGCCAATGTGACAAGACCATTGTAGGCAATTTTGATACAAGAGGGCAGAGAAGTAGTGAGCAGTCAGATTATTAAAGACTTTATAAGCTAGAGCAGAAGGAAAGTTTATGCTTAACATGGCTGTAATACACGGAGAAGTTTGAGTAATGGAGAAACATCATGACTTTTTGTTAAGAATGATTTACAGCGTAGAGGTGAGAAATGATAGAGGGGGGCTTCCCCTACATTTAAGTGGAATTTGGGAGGTATCCAACTGAGATATAATAGCTAATTGGACTTCTAGTGTGAAAGTGATAGAAATGCAGTGAAAAAGACCAATTCAATTATCTTGGAGGTAATCAGGAAGAATGTGTTAATTAATAAGTCAGATAAAAGGAAAAATTAATTATGAATGACCCATCAATTTTGGATTGCATCAGCAGGTTAGATGTCACTGTCATTTACTGATTTGGTGACATTTTGGAGAACCACAGGAAGGGTATCACGAATTCTACTTGGGAAATGTTAATTTGAGAAAGAGAAGAGCTCCTTGGAAGAATAGTTATGACAAACCACCTGACAGTGTATTGAAAAGCAGAAACATTAATTTGCCAACAAAGGTCCATATAGTCAAAGCTGCAGTTTTTCCAGTAGTCATGTATGAATGTGAAAGTTGGGCCATAAAGAAGGCTGAACACTGAAGAACTGACATTTTCAAATGTGGTGCTGGACAAGACTCTTGAGAGTTCCTTGGACAGCGTGGAGATCAAACCAGTCAATCCAAAAGGAAATCAACCCTGAATATTCATTGGGAGGACTGATACTGAAGCTGAAACTCCAATACGTTGACCACCTGATTAGAAAAGAGCTGATACTGGGGAAGATTGAGGGCAAGAGGAGAAGGGGATGAAGATTTCATCTCAAGCATTGAGGATGAGATGGGTGGGTCGCATCACTGACTCAATGGACATGAGTTTGAGCAAACTCAGGGAGATAATGAAGGACAGAGAAACCTGGCATGCTGCAGTTCACGGTGTCACAAAGAGTCAGACACAACTTAGCGACTGAACAACAAAAAAAATTGAGATGGGCTTCCTTTACCATTCAGCGGTAAAGAATCTGCCTGTCAGTGGAGAACATGGGAAGATCCCTTGGAGAAGGAAATAGCAACCCACTCTAGTATTCTTGCCTGGGAAATCCCATGGACAGAGCAGCCTGGTGGGGTACAATCAATCAGTTGCAAAAGAGTCAGACACGACTGAGAAACTAAACAAAACAACAATTTTGAGTTGCCCGGATGACAGTGATGTATATGCTTTAATTTAATATTTGGATGTATGAATTTGGAGTTGAGTGGAGAAGTCGATATGATGTTTAAAATGCAGGATTCAACAGAGTAAGAATGATGTATAAATCCCTTTAATGGATGGGATAACTCAGGGAAATATACAGATAGAAAAGAGACGAGCTGTCGGGATAAAAAGATACTGTTGTTTGATTGGGCTATGCGGAGGTTTCCTGATGACCTTGGCGAAGTTCAGTAGAATGGTAAAGGCAAATGTTCAGTTGTTCTTTCACTAGATATTAAATTTGAATCTAAATTTTGACTTTTGAATATTATGTTAGAAAATTTTAAGGGTAGTTTTAGAGGTAAATGGGGGATTTTAAATGATTTCCTAAATTAACACAACATTGTAAATTAACTATATGTCAATAAATTTTGTTTTCAAAATGTTTTCCTAAATTTTCAGACTGATGCTAATATTTTCAGTAAACGTTGAATATCTGAACAAGAATTTTACTATAAGCAGAGGGAGAATGAGGAGTTTCCTGGAAGGGGGAGAGGAGACCAATGGGGCAGGATTCAACTGTTTGTCATCACAACTGATTCAGATCAGCAAGGTAAGACCACCTGGAAGACCATGAGCTACAATAGCCATTAACCCCTGAGTAGTTGATATATGGCGACAGGGGCCAATATTTAAACAGGCAAAGAAACTACACTTCACTCTTAATAGAAAGTTAGTTTTTGAGTGCATACGGAATAGGAGACCCTTCCTTTAATATTAAAGGGGAAGCTTTATTTTAGATATAGAGTTTATATTGGGAATAAGAAAGGGGAGAGAAAATCACTTAGCAAGTTCTGCAACATTGTTGAGTTCACCTGAAAGAGTATGTTTTAAATCAAAAAAGATTTAATTGACACTAATTGGGAAGTCCAAGGTTTTGACTTTTGTTTTATTTTGCTTTTTATTTTTTTCACATTAATAAGATCCGTGGGATAAAAGAGAGCTTAATATAGTTATAAAGTTAACTATTTTCACATGAAAATAGTATCATGGAAGTATTTTCACTCTGCTAGTGAGTAGTGAGTGAGTGAAGGTCACTCAGTCATGTCCGACTCTTTGCAATCCCATGGACTATACAGTCCATGGAATTCTCCAGGCCAGAATACTGGAATGGGTAGACTTTCCCTTCTCCAGGGGATCTTTCTGACCCAGGGATGGACCTAACCCTAACCCTAACCCAGGTCTCCCACATTGCAGGAGGATTCTTTACTAGCTGAGCCACAATGGAAGCCCAAGAATACTGGAGTGGGTAGCCTATCACTTCGTCAGCAAATCTTCCTGACCGAAGAATCGAACCAGGGTCTCCCGCATTACTGGCAGATTCTTTACCAACTGAGCTATCAGGGAAGCCCCTGCTAAACTCTGTTTAACTTTGGTTCATTTGCTTTTATATATATATATATATTTATCAAATTATCAAGAATTGATATGTCTCATTTAAATTTACTCACATTTGTAATTTGGACAATTTTGATTTGCATCATTCCTTAAATGGAGAGAAGTTGGCCACCATTTTCTGTTAAAACAATCAAATACATAAAATTTTTGGTAAACAATTATGTTATATATCATAAACCAGTCTCTTCTCCCTCACCTTAAATAATTCTGCTTCCCTTAACCTTTCCACTGGTGCTTTAAAAACCTTCATTCATGTGGTGTTCCCATCAGATTCTTAAATATTATGAAAATGTTCAAACCTGATGAAAATCTAGTAAAAATCTAATCAGATCACAGAGATTTTATAAGAATGATAAATTTCAGTTCAAACCTTTAAGCTAGTTCAGTTGATTTTTAATCTTATTTTATTTAAAAGGAAGAAAAACTAACTCACCAAGTATGTTTATCTTGTCTTGGAAGCAGAGTATTCAATATCCATCAACTGTTTGTGGCTGATTATTCTTCAGAGATGGTATAGGCTCACAAAAAACAGTATTTTTTTTCTTTTTCCGTTTTTTTTTTAAGGAATTCTACTTTTAATTTGTATTTGTGCTTATTTGAAAGTAGATTTTATGAAATTTGTTTGACTTCCCCTCATGACTTCTATGATTCTTTTTTTAAATCTGTGGGTATTAACTTCAAGTTGTTTAAATCTATGGATTCAACATCTGCATCCATGAATTTTTTGACTCCTTTGTTGGTTTTGTTTCTTCTTTGTATCCATAGATTCAACATCATTAACTTCTACATTCTTATTTGAATATTCTTTTTGAATCTTTCTGGGGGTCTTTTGTTGAATCCTCATCTCCTCAAATTTCATGTAGTTAACCTTCAAGCCCTTTTAAAGTTTTGCCTTATTTTTTTTTAAATGAAGCTTTTCTGAGTCCATCTTTGAATTCTTCTTTCCCCCATTTACAAATTATTTCATTAATTCTTTGAATACCCCTTTCACTCATAGATGCAGTTTCAGACTACTAAAATTGTTTCATCAAATATGCTTTTGAATTATCATCCAAGGCCTACTTTCCCTTTTTGGTATCTTTCTTGGCATCTTTCTTGGCATCCTTCTTGGCATCCTTCTTGGCATCCTTCTTGGCATCCTTCTTCGCTGCATCCTTTGGTTCACTATCGGCCTCACCAGGCTTCTTCTCATCTTTCTTTTCTTTTTTACTATCCTTCTTCTTTGAATCTTTCTTGCCCTTTGATTCATCACCTTTCTCACCTGCTTTCTTTGAATCTTTTTTCCCTTCCTTATCCTTCTTTGAATCTTTCTTTTCACCTTCCAATTCTGTAGCAGACTCCTTGCCCTTCTTTGAACTTTTCTTATCTTTTTTGTCATCTTTCTTTGCATCTCCTTTTTCACTTTCTTCCTTTGAATCAGGCTCCTTGCCCTTCTTTGAACCTTTATCTTTTTTGGAATCTTTCTTTGCATCTCCTTTTTCACCTTCTGATTCTGAAGGAGATTCCTTGCCCTTCTTTGACCCCTTCTTATCTTTTTTGGAATCTTTCTTTGCATCTCCTTTTTCACCTCCTGAATCTGAAGGAGATTCCTTGCCCTTCTTTGACCCCTTCTTATCTTTTTTAGAATCTTTCTCTGCACCTGCTTTTTCATCTTCAGATTCTGTCACTGATTCCTTGCCCTTCTTTGAATCTTTTCTCTCTTTTTTTAAATCTTTCTTTTCATCTGGTTTCTCTTTTTTAGCTTCTGGTTCTTTCTTTGAAAGTTTCCTGGATTTTTCCTTTGAAACTGTGGGTTCTGCTTCTGAATCTGATTTGTCCTTGTCTTCTTTACTTTTCTTAAGCATCGGAGATGAAGGTTTTGCTGCCTTTTCAGAATCTTCCTTGGAGGAATGAGTTGCTTTCTGGGGAGGCTGACTCCTGGCAGCTAAATAAACAGATGGTCTCTCAGAAATTCTCATTAAAGAACGATGCATCCATAAAGGTCGTTTACGATCTCCCCTTAACTTCTCTGCATCATAGTTCTGAAATATTGGTTAGAATAATGATGAACAACTTGTGTGTGAGTTACACAGCCCTTTTTACCAAATATTAAATGCATTCAACTTTGACCATGAAAACATTTTAGATTTTGATAAATAGAGGGTAAGTGGTAGTTTGTATAGTTTATTGTGCTTTTTAAAAAAATTTGTTCCTTGTTGTACTAAAGGACAGCCATACCTCATTTTAGGCCTAATAATTTAGAGGACCTTCATAATTCCCTCAAGATATATGTTAAAATTCTCAGAGACCTCCACTTTCTAATGACATACCAGAAGCTCGCTTCACAATCATGAGAGACTTTTTTTTTTTTTAACTCTGTGTTCTTGAAGCTTGTTGGAATATCTTATCCACTTTCCATTTCTATGCTAACTCAGGAACTAATTATTCTCTAATATCTAAGAGTTTCATGTTCAAGCATATCCTGGTCTCTATTGTCATGTTCAAGGTCTCTGGAATTTTGAATGCTACCTGTGGCTAAAATTAAAAGCCTGATACTCCTCTCCTTGACAAGATATAATTTGAACATCAGCTGGGAACCTGCATTAATGAAAGTAATAACCTTTGGTTGACAACTAGTTTCTGAAGAATGGTGCATTTTTTCAACTCCTAATCAAATATTTTTAAAAACTTAATTGCAAAAATAACAAATTTTGGAAAGAATGTTCATGAATGGTAAAACAAACAATAAAGAAAGAAAGAACATGAAAAAACAGAAGAAACTGGGTTATATCAACAAGAGTTGAAGATACATCATTTTGTGAAAACTTTTCTTGAAATTTTTCATATTCCATGATGATCCCAGAAACATTGGGAAATATTAATCTTCTAATGCTCAGAATTCTGAATTATGTATTTCTAGAAATGAGAAAGCATTGAAACTTTCTGTGTATGATGTAACCTCATGATTCTAATGAGGGGATATCTCCAGCTGAGAAATATTTTCTGAATGTTTATACTAACTGTAACATTAGGATATCCAGATTTCTATGTTGCTTGGATACATATTTTCTGTAATGTGGTATTGCTGAACAAATATTTGATAGAAAATACAGGAATAATTTTTAAACAGTGAAATGCAAATAAAATATATCTACTTTCTCCAAGTAGTAGAATTGAGTTACCTTTAACTGTACTATTCATGGATTTCCCAGGTAAATAAGCTGCCTGCTAATTTAGGAGCCTTAAGAGATGGGGGTTAGATCCCTGGGTTGGGAAGATCCCCTGGAGAAGGGCATGGCAGTCCACTCCAGTATTCTTGCCTGGAGAATCTCATGGACAGAGGAGCCCAGTGGGCTACAGTCCATAAGGTTGCAAAGAGTTGGACATGACTGAAGCAACTTAACACACACATATGGTCCAGTATGCTATTTAAAAGCCACATGTGAACTGAATCTAGTTGAATTGTAAAATCCAATTGCTCATTTGTACTAGTCTCATTTCAAGTGTTCAGTAGCAATATTGGAATTAGAATGTAAAGATATAAAATACTTCCATCATCACAGAAATCCCATTAGTCAGCACTGATTTGTAACATATATAAAATATTCATGATTTTAAGATTATTATGAGTAAAATTATATAATCTTTTCAATACTCACAGGACCTGTATCTTCTCGTAGTTGGGAAGGTTTTGATCTCCTTTTTTTCCCTGGCCTTGGTGGTTTGGGAAATACCAGGGCGAAGTGTTGCTGATTCCATGATTTTTTGCTTAATTCACTGACTGAAATAAAAAACCAAAAATAAGCATACATCTCAGAGTAAATAGAATTTTATCAGGTCTAAAATGGCAGTATGGTGATTACATGCAAATGAATAAATAAATGATTCAAATTATGGTTTCATGCATTTGGTAATATTTGAAATTTTGTATTATTAATATGAGGAAATTAAATTTGATTGTTTTTAAATTTTAACCAGCTTTATGGTTAGCTATATAGTCATTGTGAAACTAATAGAGTCTGTAATGTAAATAGAAGGAGTTTTACTCTTTCCTCTTAATTCTTCTATCTCTTCCATTCTAGATTTTTTTTTTTTTTATACTCTTTTGGTTGGAATACAATTCTACTGAGAAAAGATGTGGTAACTACTCCTGCAGCTTCCAAAGTACTTAGTACATTTCTTGTTTAAAATAATCAGTAAATATATGATTGAGTCTAAGATTCTCTTAATTATTCATCATTTTCTAAGCTACAAGAGTAAATGTTATATGCCCCAGAACTGCACTATTATAAATGACATACTAATGAAGAAAATTCATAAGCAGTACCTACAGAATTATGATTATGATGGTTGAGTTACATAGAAACTGTAATATAAACAGTTAAAAACATTGAGGCTACCAATGAGACCAGTGAAAGAGATATGTTTGCTCAATTTAAATATGTACAAAACATGCTATATATGAGACTTGTCCAGTGAGTCACCTAAAGACAGAATCAGGATCAATGAGAAAATATGCAAAATGAAAGATGTGTTTAAGTTCAATATACGAGTTAAAATTGATTACTTGGTATAAGAGAAGGAGAAGGAAATGGCAACCCACTCCAATATCCTTGCCTGGAAAATCTCATGGACAGAGGAGCCTGGTGGGCTGCAGTCCATGGGGTCACAAAGAGTCGGGCACGACTAAGCGACTAACACTTACTTGCACTTCAACATCAGATCAACTGGCCTTGTCAAGTAATGAAATTTTGTCAGTTTTAAGTCTGGTACAGAGTGTCAGGAATGTAGCAGAAGACATTTCTGACACAGATAAGTTGTTTATCCATTTTTTACACTGCCTTTCACATGTAAGATTTTCTGATTGTTTTGAGTTCTAACATGTAAATATGTCCTTCTTTATGTTGCTAAATATATTTACTTAATTTTCTTTGAATTAAAGACAAAATATCTTTGGAAGGTATTTACTGAACACATCAGAAAAGTGCTTGAAAAATTAAAAGTTTGTTTTTAATAAAGCTCCATAACAGCTGTAAAATTACTTATACATTTTTTAAAATGAACTCTTTCTTACCTGGAATGTAATTATCATATGCTCCAAAGTTTATTTTTTGGCTATTAAAATAAGAGGGAAAAGTTTTAATTAATTTATATAAAATCACTCTATTTAGTGGTCATTATTATACATAAACACTTGCCACTACAAGCTAGACAAATATTTGCATTCTTAGATCTGTTTATTATGTAAGATTATGTCAACACAGAAAAACGGAGAGCAGTAAATATGTGTTTTTAGCACAAACTTCAACATAACTAAAATAAGGTGGGTAAAGATTTTTTGAAACAAAACTCATCAATTGACATATCTTAAATATTGACATTTATGGCTTATTTTTAATGTGAAACCATGAATGAAATCTTCCCCATTTTGTGTTCCAAAGACTTAAAATTGAACTGTAAGACATTGTAAGAATTATAATACATAGTCTTAAAAAGACTATGCCTAAGTAAAACCAGATCCTCAAAATAGCCTGAGAATTTAACCAAATCCAGATTAATAAATGGCAAACATGTTTTTCCATGAGATGCGTGTGTGTGTATGTGTGTGTTGGTCAGTGGGTACCACAATTATTGATATGAATTTTGATGTTTTCAAGATAAATAAAACTGGTGTTGTAAAGTAGTTTCTATTTGTCTTAATACTGTAAGCACATGTTTATGCTCACAAACAAATATTTTACATCTAATTCTTACTTATTTTAACTAAGGCACATAATAAGATCTGTTAAAAAATATAATTATACATTATCCCATTATATTACAAAAATACAGTCACTGATCATCATGAGTTTCAGTTTTACACACACACAAACACACACAAGCATACACCTAAAAACACACATGCCCACAAAACATTTTACTTTTTTGACATTACATAAATAATACTAATAAAATATAGTAAGAAAAAAATATATATTGGTAGCTTCATTACAATTTTAGTTCCCAGCACAAAACCTGGCACACGATTGCCACTCTACAAAAATTTGAATGAATTAATTGAATAAAATTTAAGATGTATTGACTATTAAGTTATCTTCTTGACTGGGGACTTGTATTAAAATTACTTGTCCTACTATATCTAAATCTCTAGACTTAGATCTAGCCAATGTACATTTATATACTGCTGAAAATTTTTATTTCCAACCATGGTTATAAACTTTTTTTTTCCCAAATTGCTCTGGAACAGGAAACACGTTATTATATATGAGATTTTAAAGTGGTACATAAGCATGGTTCACGAAATTGAATGTAATATCTGAGGAGTATTCATTGATCAAAAAGCAGCTGAATTAAAAATCAATAACAAAATTATAGTTGATCCTTGAACAACAAGGATTTGAACTCATCAGTTCAGTTGCTCATTGTGTCAAACTCTTTGTGACCCCACTGACTCCAACATGCCAGGCTTCTCTGTCCATCACCAACTCCCAGCTTGCTCAAACTCATGTCCATTGAGTCGGTGATGCCATCCAACCATCTCATCCTCTGTCATCAGCTTATCCTCCTGCCTTCAATCTTTCCCAGCATCAAGGTCTTTTCCAATGAGTCACCTCTTCTTTCAGGTGGCCAAAGTATTGGAAATTCAGTTTCAGCATCAGTTCTTCCAATGAATATTCAGGATTGATTTCCTTTAGGATGGACTGGATTGAACTCCTTGCACTCCAAGGAACTCTGAAGTCTTTTCCAACAACACAATTCAAAAGAATCAATTCTTCAGCTTTCAGCCTTCTTTATGGTCGAACTCTCACATCCATACATGACTGCTGGCTAGACAGACCTTTGTTGGCAAAGTTATGTCTCTGCTTGTTAATGTGCTGTCTAGGTTGGAAATAGCTTTTCTTTCAAGGAGCAAGTGTCTTTTAATTTCATGGCTGCAGTCACCATCTGCAGAGTTTTGGAGCCCCCAAAAAAATGTCTGTCACTGTTTCTGTTGTTTCCCCATCTATTTGCCATGAAGTAACAGGACTGGATGCCATGATCTTCGTTTTTTGAATATTGAATTTTAAGCCAGCTTTTTCACTCTCCTCTTTCACTTTCATCAAGAGGTTATTTATTTCCTCTTTGCTTTCTGCCATAAGGGGGATGTCAACTGTGTATTTGAGGTCACTGATATTTCCCAGCAATCTTGATTCCAGCTTGGGCTTCCTCCAGCCTGGAATTTCACATGATGTACTCTGTATATAAGTTAAATAAGCAGGGTGACAATATACAGCCTTGACATACTCCTTTCCTAATATGGAACCAGTCTTGTTATTCAGTGCCCAGTTCTAACTGTTGCATCTTGACCTGCATACAGCTTTCACATGAGGCAGGTAAGGTGGTCTGGTATTCCCACCTCTTGAAGAATTTCCCACAGTTTGCTGTGATCCACACAGTTAAAAGTTTCAGTGTAGTCAATGAAGCAGAAATAGATGTTTTTTTGGAATTCTCTTGCCTTTTCTATAATCCAACATACGTTGGCAATTTGATATATGGTTCCCCTGTCTTTTCTAATCCAGCTTGAACATTTGGAAGTTCTCAGTCCATGTACTGTTGAAGCCTAGCTTGGAGAATTTTGAGCATTTCTTTGTTAGTATTTGAGATGAGTGCAACTGTGCAGTAGTTCAAACATTCTTTGGCATTGCCTTTTTTTGGGATTGGAATGAAAACTAACATTTTCCAGTCCTGTGGCCACTGCTGAGTTTTCCAAATTTGCTGGCATATTGAGTGCAGCACTTTTACCACATTATCTTTTAGGATTTGAAATAACTCAGCTGGAATTCCATCACTTCCACTAACTTTGTTCATAGCAATGCCTCCTAAAGCCCACTTGACTTTGCACTCCAAGATATCTGGCTCTAGGTGAGTGATCACACCATCATTGTTATCTGGGTCATTAAGATCTTTTTGTATAGTTCTTCTTTGTATTTTTGCCACCTCTTAATATCTTCTGCTTCTGCTAGGTCCATACTGTTTCTGTCTTTTATTATGCCCATCTTTGCATGAAATGTTCCCTTGGTGTCTCTAATTTTTTGAAGGGATCTCTAGTCTTTCCCATTCTCTTGTTTTCCTCTATTTCTTTGTACTGGTCACAAAGAAAGGCTTTCTTATTTCTCCTTGCTATTCTTTGGAATTCTGCATTCAGATGGTATATTTCTGTTTTTCTCCTTTGCCTTTCACTTCTCTTCTTTTCTTAGCTATTTGTAAGGCCCCCTCAGACAACCATTTTGAATTTTTGCATTTCTTTTTCTTGGGAATGGACATGATCACTGCCTTCTGTACTTTTAGAATTTACTTTTAGGTTTTGAAAAAAAGTGTTCACATAATTACTTGATAGTTACAGGGGAACTTAATTGATATTTGTAGAACATTCCATCATAAGGAGAAGAATGCGTTTTTTTTTTTTTTTTTCAAATGTACATGTAACATTCCTCAGGATTGATCACATTCTGGGCATCAAAATGAGCCTTGGTTAATTTTAGAAAGTTGAAATCATATCAAGCATATTTTCTGAACCACAAGACTATGACATTAGTCATCAATTTAAAAAAAAAAAAAGCCTAAAAAACATAAACATGTAGAGACTAAAAAAACTGCTACTAAGCAATCAGTGGATCATTGAAGAAATCAAAGAGGAAATTTAAAAATACCTAGAGACAAATGACAATGAGAGCATTACAATTCAAAACCTATGAGACAGAGCAAAAGCAGTTCTCAAAGGAGAGTTTATAGCAATACAATCTTACATGAGGCAACAAGAAAAATCTCTAATAAACAACCTAACCTTACCCTAAAGTAACTAAAGAAGTAACTAAACCCAAAATTAGTAGGACAAAAATCTTAAAGATAACAGCATAAATAAATGAAGTAGAGATGAAAATACAATAGAAAATATTAATGAAGCTAAAAGCTGGTTCTTTGAAAAGATAAACAAAATTGATAAACTGTTAGTGAGACTCATCAAGAAAAAAAGGAAGAGGGCCCAAATCAATAAAATAGCAAATGAAAAAGAAGTTAGAGCTGACATTAAAGAAATACAAAATATCATAATAGATTACTCACAGCATTATATACCAATAAAATGGACAATCTAGAAGAAGTGGGCAAATTCTTAGAAAATTACAATCTCCCAAGACTGAGCTAAGAAGAAATAGAAAATATGAACAGACCAATCACAAGTACTGAATTTGAAACTGTGATTTGTAAATTCCCAACAAACAAATGTCCAGGACCAGATGGTTTCACAGGCAAAGTCTCTCAAATATTTAGAGAAGAGTTGGTGGGTTGTCATCTCCTTCTTCAGGGGATCTTTCTGTCCCAGGGATTGAACCCATATCACCTGCATTGGCAGGTGGATTCTTTGCCACTGAGTGATCAGGGAAGCCATCCTTCTGAAACTATTCACACACACACACAAAAAAAAAATACAGAGGAAGAAACATTCCAAAGTTCATTCTATGAGGTCACCATCACCATGATGCCAAAACCGAATACACCACAAAAAATAAAAAATTACAGGCCAATAAACTGATGAATATAGATGCAAAATTTCTCAACGAAATACTAGCAAATGAAATCCCTCCGTACATTAAAGGATCATACACCACTATTAAGTGGGATTTATCCCAAGAATACAAGCAGTTTTCTTTATCTACAAATCAATTAGTGTGTTACACCACATTAACACATTGAAGACTAAAAACTATATCATCATCTCAATAGATGATAAAAAGCTTTTGACCAAATTTAACAAGCATTTATGATAAAACTCTCTAGAAAGTGGGCAATGAGGGCACATGCCTCAACATAATAAAGGCTACATATTTCAAAACTACAACTAACATTGTACTCGATGTTGAAAAGCTTGAAAGCATTTCCTCTAATCTGTGATGAAGAATCAAGAATATACAATGAGGAAGACACAGTCTTTTCAATAAATGATTCTGGGAGAACTGGACTGCTACATGTAAAAGAATGAAATTAAAACATCTGATCACACCATACACAAGAACAAACTCAGAGTGGATTAAAGACCTAAATCTGAGACCAGATACTATAAAACTCTTAGAAGGAAA